ACTTAATTACGTAATTTTTTAGTGCCGCCCTGATTCCGAAAAGAACGAAAGGTAGGGCATGGTACCAAGAACTCTTGTGACACATTAAAGCGGCCTTTAAATGGCGTGGAAACGCTCTATCATCCCATTAGCTTGGGGATGATAGCTCGTAGTACGAACGCGTTTTGTGGCTACTAAATCCATCAGTCTGTTGAAAAGTTGGGACTCAAATTGACGTCCCTGGTCCGTTGTGACAGTGATCGGTACACCAAAGCGAGCGATCCAGCCATGGGTGAATTGATCAGCGACTTCTACTGCGGTTATCGACGACATGGGCCAAACTTCGGGCCAGCGTGAGAAACGGTCTACTGCTGTTAGGCAATAAGTGAATCCGTTTGAAGAAGGCATCGGTCCAATAATGTCCAGGTGAACATGACGGAGTCTGCCTGAAGGTGTGCTAATGTTGCCAAGCGGTGAAACGACATGGCGCGTTACCTTGCTGCTCTGGCAGGCGAGACACTCGCGTGCCCAGGAGCGGCAGTCTTTAGCAATGCCTGGCCAAACATAGCGGTCGCTAATGAGGCGCGCGGAAGCGCGTGCGCCGGGGTGGCTGAGACCATGTAGGCGGTCGAAACGGCTCGCCGATATTGCTTTGGCAAAAAGGGTCTAGGTTTGCCTGTTGACACATCACACAAAACGAAAATGTTGGATCCAGGTATGAGGGTTGGCTCTAACTGTAAAGAAGAATGGACCTTTACGGTTTTAAGTTCGTCGTCCGTCTGCTGAGCTTTTGCCAGGGCTGCAAAATCGTCATCGAGCGTGATAGCCGCAATGCGGGGACATTTTGTCAGCAATAATGTTGTCTTCCCCCTTCACATGTTTGATATCAGTTGTAAACTGGGAAATAAACGTGAGTTGGTTAAGTTGAGCAGGGGGCAATTTTTCACGGCGTTGGACGAAAGCATAAAGTCCGGAGTAAAGCAAAGGTCCGTGTAGATTGTCGCGTGTTGTGCCTCTAGTATATGCCGGAAATGCTGTACGGCCGCGTACACTGCGAGAAGTTCGCGGTAATACGCGGGCCATGTACTTTGGCTCTGTGTTAGCTTTTTGCTAAAGAATGCCAACGGCTGCCAGCCTTGATCAGACCATTGCTGTAAGGCAGCGCCAACATGAGTGCTGGAGGCGTCCGTGTACAACCCTAAACGAGCATTTCGTTGCGGATGTACAAGCATGGTGGCCTCTGAGAGACTTTCGCGACACTCGTAGAAAGCACGCTCCAAGTCTGCTGTCCAGGGCATAGCTTTTGCACCTTTTAGGTTGCTAACTGTTAAAAAATCCACAAGTGGAGCTTGCAGCTTGGCGGCTTTGGGAAGAAATTGGCGGTAATAATTTACCATCCCCAGGAAGCGTCTCAAACCTTGAGCTGTTTTGGGAAGCGATAACTCGCGGAGAGCAGCGATCTTCTCTTCAGGTGGGCAGATACCATCCTTGGTTATCTTATAACCTAGGAAGATTACCTCACATGCCCCCAATACGCACTTATCCACATTGACAACGACGCCATAGTCCACCAGTCTTTGCAGGATTATGCGCAGGTGTTTGGCGTGCTCTTCAGCATCCCGTGAGAATACCAAAATATCGTCAATGTAGGGAAAAGCGAAGTCTAGTCCGCGCAAGATCTCATCGATGAAACGCTGGAAGGTTTGGCCAGCGTTGCGTAACCCAAATGACATATAGGGAAACTCGAAAAGACCAAATGGCGTTATTATGGCCGTTTTGCAAACATCTGGACCAGCTACCGGAATCTGCTGGTAGGCCTTTACTAGATCTAATGTGCTAAATATAGTAGAACCAGCCAGATTATGACTGAAGTCTCCTATATGACGCACAGGGTACCGATCGGGAACTGTCCGAGCGTTTAAGAGCCTGTAGTCACCGCAAGGACGCCACATGCCATCCTTTTTGGGTGCTAAATGCAGTGGTGACGACCAGGGGCTTTTAGATAGGCGAGCAGTACCCGCCGACACCATGTCATTAAATTCCTTCTCAGCAATTTTTAGCTTGTTGGGTGCTAGTCGACGAGGACGCGACGTGACAGGTGGCACACTAGTTGTCGTTATATAGTGAACAGTGCTGTGTTTTATTTGACGGTCAGCTGTAGGTGGGCGCGTCACTTCCGGAAAGTCTAAAAAGAGTTGACTGAACAGGGAATCGCGAGACGGTTTTTTTACGGTCCTAATACTTGGCTGCATTATAGTTACAAACAATATGCGGATAAGTTTGTAAGCTCATCGCGCAGTGTGCCGCTACGGCAGTCGGGTAGGAGGTGGAAGAAAGCTAGGAAATCCGAACCGATAATTGGGACATCCACGTCAGCACAAATAAACTCCCAGCGAAATTCACGGCGCAGTCCTAAATTGAGGTTCAGATTAACTGTGCCGTAAGTTTTTAATGGGGCTGCCATTTGCCGCATTGAGAGTAAGTCCTGTATTTGAGAAACGTCCTTTTATAAGTTTTCGTGGAAAACAACAAATGTCCGAACCGGTATCTATCAAAAAATTAATTTTGGTATTTTGATCGGTAATAAAAAGGCGTTTGCTGGACTGTGCGCGGTCGGTACTTGCCACGTCCGACCGCTCCCTTAGTTTAAAGGTTTGGTAGCTCCTTCAATGGTCCAGCTGCATCCTGGTATGCATTTGCTTGCTTTGTTGCCGAAACGATCGTGGTACCAGCAAAGCTTCTGATTACGTGGGCGTGAGCGCGATCGAGAGCGGCTCCGCTTTTGATTAACGCGTGAGCTCCCAGATCGTTCATGGGTATTTGTTCTGAGCGCTGAGACTGTTCGCGTCAATTCCTCGATCTGCCGCTGCATTGACGCGAGAGTGGGCTCAAAGGTATGATGACCTGGCTCACGGTGGTAGGCCTCTCGGTCAACTGGTCGGCCATCTCCGCCAACTCCGTCAAGTCCTGGATCTTCTGTGCGGCCAACACAATTTGAACCTGCCGGGGAAGCCGATTGGCCCAAATTGATCGCAGCAAGTCAGCGGGGAACGATTGCCCAGCCAGACTCTTCAAGTGTCGCATGAACGAAGATGGCTTGCGGTCACCTAACTGTTCCTTTTCTAGTAAGCGCCGCACCTTCTCCTCGAAGGAATCGGAGAATCTAGATATGATTGCGCTTTTTAAAGTTGTGTATGGTTGCAACTCGGGAGGATGTGTGATAATATCTTCGACCTCCTTCGTACACTCGGTATCTAAATGCGCCACGGCGAAATGAAACTTCGTCATTTCGACGGTAATTTGGTTAATGTGGAACTGCGCCTCTAGGCTAGCAAACCACAATGCGGGCCGATCCTGACTAAAAGGCGGGGTCCTAATTGCGACCCTGTTTACGTAAATGGGACTGCCACCGACTAGTGCAGTAGCATCACCCTCGTTGCCAACGTGGCCCTCTGAAACGTTAGATTCTCCTTGACTCGCCATGGTTTAAAGGTAAAATCAGAAACGGTCAAATCGCAAAAACGCTTTACACATACACGCAGTGGAACAAATCGGTAAATACACAAACGAAACAATTTCAGTATTGCGCAGCAAACGTAATAATAAAATTGGTTAGAAAAGTAAAGTAAGTCTAAATACAACATAAAATGATACTATCTTAAGTGTAAAATAGCACTAAACTTTCACTTGAACGAGTGTAAACGCAGCATCCGACGCGAAGTATCAGTGGAGAGCTGTTAGTCACCTGACACAATGTTGCGGGTGATTGCCGCGCGTGGCGCGCTTTTCAACTTCCTCCTCGTCAAAGATGACGTAGCTCCGGTAGAGAAAGAAAAATGGCCGGCCTCGATGCGAAAAATGCCGGCTCAGCGCTACATAGAATGGACAAAAATACGAGTCCAATAGCGATGTAGATTATCGTAGATGCGTTTACAGTTGTTGCGATTATAGCTTCATGGCTGTTCTGTACAATCTCCCTCGCAGGCTATACCATAGTCTCACTCGCAGGTGGCTTTTCTAGTCTCCCTAGCAGACTTCTCTGCACGGAGGGAAAAACAAAAAGAAGGAAGCGTACCTAAGCGGCGTCGCAGAATGGAACAAACCTCGATTATCACGGAAATTGTTGTTTCCGAGCGAAACTGCAGAGCGTAGCGACGTGGGCTCCGATGTTGCGCATATTTATCACATCACGTCGGGGTCACCAGTTTGGGAGCCGGCAGGAGGGAATAATTAAGATGCAGTACAAAACACAAGCCGTGTTGAGAAAAACATCATCTTTTATTGTCACTCATTGCATAGAAATTTGTCAATAATAGGGTAATGCTAGACCGATGAGAGTAAGGGTGTAAAAGATAAGAGCGGTGCTACACAGTAGCAAATGAGTCGCCACAAAATAAATAAGGTTAGGTGATTTACCATCACCTATCCTTATTTATTACTATTACTAGTTATGCTATACTACATTAAATATATTTGAACGTACCGTGTTTAATTTGTTTTAGTATAATTTTAGTGAATTACAATGTCAACTTTCTTTCTAGTGTTTTAAAATTGTATCTCATTTGTATGCTAAAACTTTTTAAATTCTTCCGGGGCTATTTTTTCAACGAAACATCTAGATAAATAAAAGAAGATATTTGTTTTTAATGATGGCATAAAAATTATCATTTTTACCTGCCGCAAGAATCTTAGGCATAAAAAATTGTTGTACTCTGTATCAAGTTGACATGTGCCAAACGAATTTGACGCAAGTAATCTTCTGTCAATTTGACAATTTCCATCAATGTATTGAGTGAATAAAGACTGGTTATGCTAGTGCTTGCTGATATTTACGCTACAATACTGTATCTGCGATAACGAAACATGATGACGTGTGCTTGGCCGTAAGTGAAAGTAACTTATTAGTGGTAGGAGTTATTATTCGAAGGTCTTCGATATCAGTAATACGTTGTGTTGCTCGCAGTCTGTCGTCGATAGTGGTTTCGTGCACTCCGGTTTCAATTCGCTTTACTTCGTAAACAATGTGTGGAATATTCGCATATATTAATCATCTTACGCCTAAAACCCGACGAGAAATATTGGAATTGCTTGTGAATGGCTTGAAACGCTTAGAATACCGTGGTTACGATTCAGCGGGCGTCGCCGTGGATGCCGCTGACGAAAAAGACATAGCAGTTGTGAAGAGACGCGGGAAAGTTGCAGCGCTTGAAGAATTACTTCAGGAGCGAAGTGTTGAACTTGCTGTTGATGAAAGTATAGATTCACACTGTGGCATCGCACACACACGTTGGGCTACCCATGGAGAGCCAAGTGCAATCAATTCCCACCCGCAGCGCTCTGGAGAAGATAATGCATTTGTTGTTATTCATAATGGAATTATTACCAATTACAAGGAAGTTAAAACTTTTCTAGAAAACAAGGGATATGCATTTGAGTCACAAACAGATACTGAAGCTATTGCAAAGTTGATCCACCACATCTACAGCCAACATAAAGGTTATAATTTCCAAGAATTAGTTGAGCAGGTAATTCAACAACTTGAAGGTGCTTTTGCTCTGTGCTTTAAATCTCGCTACTTTCCAAATGAATGTGTAGCTACTAGAAGAGGTAGCCCTCTCCTAGTTGGAATCAAAACAAGGCGCCGTCTCTCAAGCGATCATGTACCTATTATGTACACCAATAATAAGGCCACTAGAGGTGTTGTGCCATCTGTACCTCGTGTCAACAGTCATGCGCACTTTGAACCTGAAGAAGAAAGAGATGTGGAGTATTTCTTTGCATCTGATGCATCTGCAGTAATTGAACACACAAATAGAGTGCTTTACTTTGAGGATGATGATGTAGCTCATATTAAGGATGGTGTTCTCAGCATTCACCGCATGTCAGGCAGTAGCAGTGACCCACACCAACGTGAAATTTTAACACTTAAATTGGAACTGCAACAGATTATGAAGGGAAACTATGAATATTTCATGCAAAAGGAAATTTTTGAACAATCTGAATCTATTGTAAACACTATGCGGGGTCGTCTTAACTTTGCTGATGGCACAGTTACTTTGGGAGGTATTAAAGATTATATCCCTGAGATAAAACGTTGCAGAAGATTAATGTTAATTGGATGTGGTACAAGTTATCACAGTGCCGTAGCTACTCGTCAGCTTTTGGAAGAGCTTACAGAGCTTCCAGTCATGGTTGAGTTGGCCTCCGACTTCTTGGACAGAAATACTCCTGTCTTCAGAGACGATGTATGTTTCTTTATTTCACAATCAGGTGAGACAGCTGATACTTTAATGGCTCTCCGCTATTGTAAGCGCCACGGAGCTCTTATTGTTGGAATAACAAACACTGTAGGAAGCTCCATTTGCCGCGAATCACACTGCGGTGTTCACATCAATGCTGGCCCAGAAATAGGTGTTGCTTCCACAAAAGCCTATACATCACAGTTTGTGTCCCTAGTTATGTTCGCCTTGGTGATCAGTGAAGATCGCATATCACTTCAGAAACGACGCGCCGATATCATCGCCGGACTGCACGAGTTGGACACGAAAATTAAGCAGGTCTTAGCTTTGGATGACAAAGTTAAAGCATTGGCCGAAGACCTTTACCGACAACGTTCGCTGCTCATAATGGGTCGTGGCTATAATTTTGCAACATGTTTGGAAGGTGCTCTGAAGGTCAAGGAGCTAACGTATATGCACAGCGAGGGAATTATGGCGGGTGAACTGAAACACGGACCTCTGGCCCTCATTGATGACTCGATGCCAGTCATGATGATAGTTATGCGGGATCCCGTTTACACTAAGTGCATGAACGCACTACAGCAGGTGACTGCCCGACAAGGCCGTCCGATAGTTGTATGCGAAGAAGGTGATACAGAAACAATGAGTCTTGCGTCGCGGTGCCTGGAAGTACCAAAAACAGTAGATTGCTTGCAAGGCGTATTGACTGTTATCCCGATGCAGTTGTTAGCATATCACATTGCCGTTCTTCGTGGTTGCAATGTTGACTGTCCACGTAATCTTGCAAAGTCTGTAACAGTCGAGTAATGCATACGATTATTTACGAACTACGCGCGATCTCTTTTAATTTTATTATGATAACGATATTTTACTATGTATTATTTTTTGCTCATTTGTTTTTTTTTTCATTTATTTAAAAAGTACTGCCTAACGTGAACACTATAACTTTGATGTTGGTCACAAGCATATATTGCAAAAAACAATTACATGGAAGGGCTCTTAGTAATATAAGCTTGTGATTGATTTACTTTTCTCGATAACTTTTCTAAATTAATTCTTCAAAGCTACATGTGTATGAAAAAACATATGTGCATTTATTAATATTATAGGCATATTCCTGTGTAGAGTGAAATATTTTCCTTGAACACATTCCGTCTAAAATTTATACAAGTTTATTTTATGCAACATTCCACAGCTTTTCTGTGTCTTTTAATTTTATTTATGTAAAGCATTTTACATAATTATGTATACTTTATCGAGATCGCGCACATATATTGAGTATTAATAACAAACTTTTGCTTCTCTTAGTATCGTATCTTAGTTTGGTATCAAAATGATTTTGTAGTCAGAAAAAGTACTTATGTCACGGCAATTAATTAATCAACTGATTTAATTAGTTTAATGTTTTTAATCTGCTCTATAAATATACTTCGAAGCGTTTGTATAGAATGTTCAACACAACCAAATCTTTCGCTTAAAATTGTTTACATACCTTTGGACTACGATCGTATTATTGTAAGTTTTGTAAATATATTAGGCTTAGGTTGTAGACTATATACATGATCATAGTTGTTTAATGTGCTAGATTAAAAATATCACTCGAAATTGATTCTTCGTGTAAATGTTTTAGTATCAATAGAGGTAGTCAGTAAAACGTAAATAAAATATTGATAAGTATTACTTTGTAGATTAACCGAGTTGAAAAATGAATTACACTAAATCTGGAAATCGGTTTTGATTATGAGCAAAAGTAGGAAATATGCACGATTAAGGGACGCTCCGTGAATGCGTTATCTGCATATGATTATTTTTATTGCTTTCCAGTAAATTAATCAAATTTGCTGGTGAAAAAAATTGTTCAGCTTTGTTTGGTACGATATGCAATAACATTATTTTTCCTTTTCGCTAACTTTTATAAGTGCGTACCCATGCTTAAATTTTATCTTTTATCTATCCATTGTCTTGTCGGTATATGTGCAATAATTCATATTAAACTATGGAATTATATGTACGCATAAGAGCATCTTTTTTTTTTTTTATTATACCCTGAGCGAGTTGCTAGTCAAACGAAATTTTTGCTTGGGTCTATATCATTTTTCAGAAGAAATAAATATTGTTACGATATCCTTTGCCTGATTTGTTTAGTTTAAAGTAAAACTAATACATATACACATCTGCTTATTTTTCTTTATTATATCTAGACGATAGTAAGCTTTTTATGTGATAGATTTATATTATAAAGATAAATCAAAAATATTTTACGCACATTATTATCGCATTAGATTTTATTTTTGTATAATGATATATATTTATATATTTGTTTTTAATGATTTTTAAAATATCAATGATCTGTACAACAGACAACTTTGAAATGTTATTAATAAGATTATAAAAAATGTATTTTAATTATAGATATTTGAATAATATAATCCTATTTGACATTACCGTGTTTTCTTAGCCTTCCATATTATTGCAATAACGTTAATGTATCAAAACAAAAGTATTATCTATTGAGAAAATATAAACATAATCTACTAACAGGAATGTGGATTAATTATAACCTACTTTAAAATGAAAGGCAGTGCGATAAGTTGACCGGAAAAGTTGAAGGTTTTGTGACACAATATTTAATTTTGTGTTACGTTAACTGTTAGCATACGTTTAATTAAAAGAATTAAACGATGTTAATAAAAAAAACAGAAGTTACCGCCACGTATAGTTTTCTCTTACTTTTATATTATTCGGATCTAATTTTTTTTATATAATTTTTATAAGTTATATTGGAATCTCATTTCAAAACCTGGAGAGAATGATGCTGAAATGAAGATGACTACTGTTCCATTTTTGGTTTTACATTGTTAAACACTACTAATAAAAAAAGCATTACAAATATAATGTATTATGGAAGCCTACTAAAGAAAAATGTAAATGTTTAAATTTTACCGAATTTCAGATTATTTTTAAAAAGAAAAATTATAATGATACCAGGAAACCTTAACGAATATTAATGAAACTTTTCTGATGGGCACCTAATTAGAAATTAACAATTTGGTATAATCCTTAATTGGGTTGTTAACATTTAACATTTATATTACGTATTAGATCAATATTCGAATTTAAAGCGCAATTTGTTTAATCACCGATATGACCTAATTAATTTTATAATTATTTTGATGAAACATTGTAAAAACACTTACTTGCCATTCATTCTACCTAGATTTTGCTTTGGATTTCTATAACACTTGAAACATTTAATCCTAATTCGCTTTCAATTTACTCCATATCTAATCATCAACAGTCGTTCAAATCAATTGTTCATAGTTCTTAAGTATTTTATTATCTATTTGTTGGTATTATTTGCCGAATTGATTAAGAAAATTATTTTATTTCCAAAAGGTCATATAATCAAGTGAATTAAAGGGTATTTTATAGTAGGTAATTTATTACCTACAAGTTATTCAAAAACTTAACTGTTAACGGGCCATCCATTTCATGCTGTTCACTGTAAATTTTATGCAGAACAACACAGTTGCAATTGTTATGCTTATGAGGTCTACTCAAAGTCAAAAGTCAAAGTCAAAGTATATTTATTCAATATAGGCCTAACTTAAGCTCTTATTGAACGACAATAAAAAATCTACAACCGGTTCACTTAATTAGACCTGCACAGAGAAGAACCGGCAAGAAACTCTGCGGTTTTGTTCTTTTTGTTATTTATTTTATGCAATTATACACATTTATTTCGGTATAAAATTAGCAGCAGCCAGGGGTCTTGCTTGCGTGCAGAGCAAGAGTCATTTCCAAACATCCTTGTCATCAATGTATTCTTGGATATTATAGTAGGCCCTTTCCATTAAGGTAGCCTTTACAAATTGTTTATACTTAGTTGTTTATGGATGTCACCTATTTTATTATAAAAGTTGATGCATCTTCCAAGAAACGACTTTCTGGTTTTAGCCAATCTAAACCTCGGTACTTCCAGAGTGTCACCATGGCCCCAACGCGATGTGGATTGTTTTTTCGTAAATAGATGGATATTATTACGTACATACATGATGTTCTCAAGTATGTAAAGGGGGCGTCAAAACGGTTATTTGCTTAAATATACGCCGTAGTGACTCACGTGGACCCTACTATACATATATGTTTCATGAGTTTGATAATATTATTTTATACAAATGGCCATAAATTAAAAAATAATACTTGTACTTTACATAAATCTTAGAAATTACTATCTCATATTAGCGCATTGCTGCTTCTAGGAGGAAAAAGAAACAGCCTCCCAAGAAACCAGCTTTTGTTAGAAGAATTCAGCTTCAGCGTATCATCTAGCTAAAGAGATAACCTCTCTTAGTTGACAACGCTTCCCAATTCCCATTAGTATCGCGAATGACCACTGACGTCGGCGTTCGCTTACCATAGGAACACCGCATGTTGGTTTACAAATTTCTTTTATAAAAAAAAATATTCATATTTATATTTTTCGGCCCGATTTCTACTTAAAACTGACCTTCAATAGAATGCTACACAACATTTTCTAGGTGGCGATTGGCACGTCCGGCAGTAAATTATTTAACTAACGAGTGTCTGAGAATAATAATTGGTTTTATTTATATTGTATAACAAATACGTTTCAAATTACAGTTAAGGTGAACGCAACTTATACAAATGGTTCGAAAGATAATTTAGTGTTATAGATGAATGCTAAAGTTGTTCTTTGTAAGGAATGGTCAAAGTTTCGATTATTTTTATGAGTATTTAATCTCGCTGTTTTTTCAATAAAACGCAGGAAAGCATTTAAATAGTTTGTAACATTATAAAAGAGGCTATTTTCTCCTCCTAATTGATTTATTGGTAATTTAATTAATAAAGTAACAACCTGTATATGTACATATATCCCACTGCTCGGCAAAGGCCTCTTCTCGACTGAGGGTATAAGGTCCATCACGCGAACACCACGGATAAACAAAGTTCGCATGTCTTCGAAAATTTTTTTTGTACTATTTTGAGAGTATGCAGGTTTCCTCAAGATGTTTCCCTTCGCCACTGAGCATATGGCAAGTCTGCATTAAGTGCCAATTACAAGTAAGCGAGCGCCCGACACACACTTATTGATAATGACATAAAATATTTTTAGAAGAGTATAATGTACCTATCATTTCAGTTGTCAAGTTTAAGTTTTGTTATGTTATGTTCTGTCAACATTAACCTCTACTAACTGTATGTACCTAATCGTTAGTTTAAAAGAAAAATTTAATAACTTACAATAAGGATTTATATGTTATACCTAAGTTTCTGATTTATAACTTTGGCAAAAGTTGAATTTGTATAATTAAATGTTTTTATTATATTAATTATACATAAGTATACATTATATATACTATAGCACCGGCTTTGCGTCAACGCTTCTGGTGTCCGACCTTCGGACAAGATAAAATACCAGTTGGCTAATATAAAACAACGCCGAATTGCATATTTATAGAACTAATACCTACTTAAATGTTAGAAGTTTAAAGGTCATAGCATTAAAGTGAACAGGTAACGTAGAGATAGTACAAATTCATCAAAACTAGATACGTCTTTCATCCAAAACATGTGGGCTATAAAAATGAGATATTATATTATGTACTTATACTTCGTATAAGAAAGCGTAAAAGCTTAGTATTGTATCTACACATTCCTTAATATCCTATAAGATTTCGCCTCTGAATGATCGATTTCTTTGATTGATTTGTGTGTTTGTTTTTCTTTTTATTTTCACAGTCTACAAAAGTTGTCACCGTTATTACACACATAGGATGCAA